CAAAAAAAAAAAAAAAAAAAAAAAGCATGGAAGAAAAGTAGCAAAGGGGACAGTTGGGTCATTTCCAACAAGCATTTTGTTTAACAAAATGACCTCCAGAATAAGGAGTACAATTTTTTTTTCCCATAGATTATTTATTGAGTGTATTGGTACAATCTAGGCATACAATACAGTTACATTCACTATTGGGATCCTGTACCTTTACATGACAGGTCATGGTTCTCATGTTTTCCCCTTGTCCCTGCCCTCCCTTCACCCGCTCCTCCCCTCCCCATTATTTACACACACTTTATTTCCATTTTTTCATATTTTTTTCCTCTCCCTTATTACCTTTCCCCCACCCTTCCCACTTTCCCTATACCTTTAGCCCTTTACTTCCTTTTCACATTATTAATCATCTCACTAGGATCTTGTGTACTACTAGTTTTTCACACCAGAGAAACTATTCAGTATTTCAGTTAAAGAAATCTCTGTATGAACATTAAAAATACGGAATCCTAAAATGAAACTAAAAAGGAAAGTAAAAGAGAAAAGGCAATGATGTGAAATTAAAGTAATCCTTAATTATGAAGATGAAAATGGTCCCTGAACATATTTAAATTGCTTCTTGCTCTTATAGTCTTATTTTTTTCCATAACTTAGAGAATACTTTATTAGTTTCTGTAATCAAACCCACATAAATATGACCTTACATATTTAATACAGTGCATTACCCCTGTACAAATGGAAAAAGAAATTAACATTTCTAGACCAATATGTCTGTTAATTTCTGTACAATGCCAACTCAACACAGTAAATTGGGATAACTTTTTCCAAAGTCAACAGCACAGTTAAAATTTCCAAAAATTCAATTTATTTATATATATATACATATATATATATATGTGTATATGTGTATATATATATATATATAAAAAGACCAATAATGGCAGTTAATGTTATGCATCAGTAGCAGCAACACCTTTTCCAGGTTCTGTAGTTATCTGAACAAAATTATAGACATTCAGCACTCTCCATTAAAAAAACAAAAACAAAAAAAGAAAAGAATAATACCCAGAAAACAGCAAAGTTCTGTTGTTGTTGTGGTACCTGGCACCATTCTTTTTATTAGCATCTTAGTCATCATCTGGAAAGAGAACATTCTAGAGTAACATCATTAAAAATAGCTCTGATAAAGCACAGTCACTACTACGTACCATAAAGCAGGTACAAGATATTTTACATTCACAGAGGTATGATACAGTACTGTCCTACATCTATAATACTAGAATCACTTTGGGTTTGAAATTTACTTTGTCTGCAAATAAGATTGCTACCCCTGCTTTTTTCTGGGCTCCTATCACATGGAGAATTATTTTCCATCCTTTCAGTCTATGGGCTTCTTTTTGCACTAGGTGTGTTTCTTGTATACAACATATTGTTGGATTTTGCTTCTTATTCCATTCTGCCAGTCTATTTCTCTTGATTGGTGAGTTGAGGTCATTGATATTGATGGTTATAACTGATATGTACTGACTTATTATTGGCCTGTTATTTATTCTTTTTACTTTTTCACCTTCTCCTTTTAATTTCTTGCCTTGCCTATTTGATTTGCTCTGTTGGGCCTTATGGTGTTGTTGCCTTCATTGTTTTTCTAGGATCTTGTTTAGAATTGCTTGTAGTGCTGGTTTGGTATTCATGTAGTTTCTCAGGTGTTCTTTGTTGTGGAAGTATCTTATTTCCTCATCCATTTTGAAAGAGAGTTTTGTAGGATACATCAGTCTAGGTTGGAGGTTGTTCTCTTTTAGTACTTGAAATATCTCACTCCAGGCTCTCCTTACCCCAAGGGTTTGTGTTGAAAAGTCTGCTGTGATTCTGATGGGCTTTCCTTTGCATGTGATTTGTTTCTTTTCTCTTACTGCTTGTAGTATTTTGTTCTTCTATTGGGTTTCTGGGATCTTGATTATTATATGTGTAGGTGTAGATTTTTTTTGGTTGTGGCTATTTGGGGTCCTATATTCCTCACTTAGCTGAATGTCAAATTCTTCCCCTCTGTTTGGGAAGTTTTCTCTCATTAATTCTGTGAACAGCTGTTTTACGTCATTTGTATTTTCTCCTGCTACTTCATGGATTCCTATCAGTCTTATGTTATTCTTCTTTGCATCATCTAGGAGTTGTTGGATCGATTTCTCATGACCCCCTACTGTTTTTAAGAGACCTCTCTTTTCATGGTCACTGACTGCAATCTTATCTTCTATATCTGAGATTCTATCTTCGCATTCTTTTATTCTGTTGTGTACACTTTCTATGGAGTGTTTAATCTCCTGGATATCTGTTTGAATCTGTTTTATGGATTCCATTTCTTTCCTATGTTGGGTGTTTATTGTTTCCATTTCTTTCTTATGCTGGGCCTTCATGGCTTCTATCATGGTCCTGAGCTCATCTATTTTTTTGTCAGTTTCTGTTCTAGAGTCTCAAATCACAACTTTCATTTTGCTCACCATCTCTATGGTTATCTGGGAATTTATTTCTGTTTTGAATTTTTCTAGAGCCTGATTGATCTATTTTGTTACTTCCTGTGCTTTGAGTTCAGGGTGTCCTGGTGGTTCACTGTCGGCCTTTTCATCTTCATTTGCCCTACTGTTTGCCATTGGTGAACTGGAAGTCTGTCTTTTGCCTAAGTGTTTTCTCATTTTTATTTTTGTTGTCAGGCTGTCCTTGGTTTAATCTCTGGGTTATCACCCAAATCTTCCTGATATAGTTGCGCCCTAGCTTCTGGGTCTCTAATGACCCACAGACATTCTCATCTTCATAATATCAGAGAAAACAACTCATCAAATCAACCACAATCCTTTTCCCCAACTGATACAATCAGCAACACATTATGATCAAGCAGAACTTGGAAACTGACCACCTGTGGTAGTCACTAGTGTATCACCCTTAAACCATTTGAATTAAATTGAAATCAAGAAGCAGTCCAAAACGTGTCTGCAGTGAACGAACTTTTCAATATAGTATATTTACCATTTAGGATGGGGGCTCAGACAGAGCTAGGACACAAGACTCCTGATCTCACTTAGCTGATGGCAGAACCCCATGATGCGGACTGACCTCAGGCTGCAAGGCCCAAATTGAGTTCCCCAACCTTCTGAATGGTTGAACTCCCTTTCTTTAAAGATGTTCAAAGTTGGGAACTCAGAAAAATACCCTTTATGATCACCTCTGCCTCTGCAGAGTTGGTCCAAAGAGCAGCACAATCAGGAGGTCTGAGAGTGCATGCAGAGGGGGTGGGGTGTGTAGGGGGTAGGGGGTGGTGGTAGTTAGGGGAGCTGTGGGGGTTCAGGGGCTGCCACGTAGCTACCTTTCTGGTGCTGGAGCAATGGTGGCTGCAGCCAGGAGAGGGCGTAGCTATTCCTCCTGCAGTGGATCAGGGCCCAGGATACCTTCCTGGCGCTGGAGCAATGGAGGCTCTGGAAGGGAGAAGGCGTGGCTATCCTTCCCACGGTGGATCAGGGCCCAGGCTGCCTTCCGGGTGCTGCAGCTATGGCGGCCAAGGAGTACAGTCTTTATTCTATAGAAATTTATACTTCTAGCAGAGACTTAGGAAAAAATTCAAAATCAGATCCCTGTCCCAGACTTTGTACAATGCTAAACTCTAAATGGATCCTTGTTAAAAATAAAGCAAACTACTAGAAGAAAATGTAGGAGCATAGCATTATGTTCTAAGGACAAGGAGAGTGTTTTCTAAAAGTAATACCAAAAAAATCCCATTATTTTTGTCTATCTTTTCATTTGTACAGTGGGTATAATAAAAGTACTAGTACCAAAGGCTGTCAGGTTGATTAAATTAGCTAATAGAACAATGGGATTAGAACTATTCCAGCACATAGTAAACGCTCAGTAAACTATCATCATTATTATTATTTTTTGCCACACCAAAGACAGAAAATCGGACCATTTAATCATTGCACGAACCCTACTGAGCATGTACTGCGTGACAGGTCTGTCTTCCACACTAAGGGTCCAGCACTGCAGAATCGGTGAGAACAGTTTGTTCCAAGTGCAGTTGTCCAAGTGAGAGGCTGAGGTAGAAAGAGATGGCTTTTAGAACACACTGAGACCAGGCTTGGCAGGACTTGGAGACTCCTTCGGGGTGCTAGGACTCGCAGGGTGAGGAAGTGCCTGGATGAGAGGCCACGGGCCACAAGACAGGAACTGGCTTATGTGGTCTTATAAACTTTAGGGTCGATAAAACATTTTCACATAATTATCCCACTCATAACAACCTTTAGAAATAAAGGTAGGTTTTCCAAGACTGCATTTATTATGAGATTCAGAAAATTCTCATCTTCTGCTTCCCGTTCCTGTCCTGAATGAAGCACCAATGCTAAACGGGAGCTGTCAAAATGGCCTCGTAGTGAGTCCTTATAAAACTGTCTTTCAGTCTTCACTGAAGAGTTTTTCATAGGAAAGAGCAGGTTTGTACTAGGAAGTAACTGTTACTGTTTAAGCTTACCTTTGTTTGTTCCCTTTTTATGATCTTATAGGATGTCATTTGTATGTGTATCAATAACTTATAAATGCTAAATGCCATTTAAAAGACTACCTTTAAGTTGTGTTTTATTACATTGTAATGTGTGACTTTTCTTTTTTGTTTTTAGGGTGATATAGTAAATACGTTACTTGGGTCCAAGTCAAACCAACCAGGATAATTAATCATTCTTAATGTCTTTTTTTTGTTTAAAAAAGAAATTTTGATATGTGGTTCACTTATATTGTATACTTATGAACTAGGATTTTGATTTTAGAAAATAATACTTTTTGTATAGCTTCCATTTAAATTCAGTGAACTTTTAGTTAAGAAATATGTGATTACTTCATGATGGAAGCTAAGAGTTATTCTAAGAAAGATAATTTTTTGACTTTTCATAATTTTCTAAAAATATTTCTACTCTCCTTGGTCATATTTGAAGCACATATGAGTATGTATATATACTTATAAAGTGTCTAAAGAAGATAGAAAACCAAAACATGGAAATTATTAGAATTATTTAAACTGAAACCGTTTTAAGACAAAAGTTCTCTAAACTTTTAAGCTGGGAGCAGTGGCACACGCTGTAATCGCAGCACATGGGAAGCTAAGGCAGGTGGGTAGCAAGTCTAAGATCATCCTGGACTCAAGCGAGCGACCCTGTCTCAAAAATAAATGCGATCCACTTTTAATCTTCTGCTTTCCAGGATTTCTTCTTGTATCTTTAGTAGAATGAGAATGTGGATCCTTGTAGCCAACTTTTAACCTAAATTTTAATCCCACATTTAACCAAAATCTCCTCTCTCTGGAGCTGAAGCCTTAGAACTGTTAGTCCACTTGACAAGGAAAGCCCACAACAGCCAATATCAGGATCGCACACTTTGGTCAGCAGGCATCACACCCCCAATTCGGTCAGAAGAATTAGCCTGGAATATATTAGGGCACCCTCCCCTGGGTGCCCAGAACCGGCACCAGACCTTAAGCCCATCTGAAAAGGGCTTAGCAAGAAGACAGAAAGCCTCTGATCAAGGTGTTATTTTACGAATAATTCAGAAGAGAGGTTGTGGCAGTGGTGGGAAGTGAGTTCCCCAAGTGTGGACTGGAACAGGCCATCTCACAGCCTTAGCAAGACCTGGTTTTGTTAACTGAAGCCATACGACACGGTGGCCTGTTCCGGAAAGCTTTCTAAATGGAAAGGAGAGGGGAGGGGAGGTATGAACACACACACAGGATGGAATCAGTGCAGCAATAAGAGCTACCTTTTTCAAGTTTTCACTGCTTCACAGTCTTTTTTTGAGCCACCCTTTAAACAAAAGCAAGGCAAGGTTTATGGGGCTGGAGAACTTAGGTCAGGTTATAAGGATTATAAATGTTTTACTGGTATGAGTCACTGTGATTATCTTTGTTGAACTATCTGTAACACTCTGTGTAAGACAATAAAACCTTGATTTAATCGAAAAAAGTGTTCTGTTTTATTATGTGTTGTTAGTGCATTTCCACATTTCCACATGTGCGCATGACGTACTTTGATCCTCTCCTCTCCACCTTCGCCCTCTCTTCCACTCCCCTCCCACTCCCCGAGTTTCTCCCTTTTCCCCAGTTGTCTCCCTTCTACTTTCGTGTCATTCTGTTTTCTTGTCTTCTAGATTCCACATTTGAGAGAGAATGTGATACTTGTCTTTCTGAGTGGCTTATTTTACTTAGCATGGTGATCTTCAGTTCTAATACTTTCTTGTAAATTGCATGAATTTGTTTATGGCTGAAGAATAAATACCCTGTGCTGTGTGTTTACCACATTTTCTCTGTTTACTGATGGGCGCCTATGCTGATGCTGTAATCTGGCTGTTGTGCCCGGGGCGAGGTTAACCTGGGTATGCAGGCATCTGCTAATTTCTTCAGGTGTAAAGCGAGGAGCAGTATAGCTAGATCATATGATAGTTCTACATTTAGCTTTTCGAGGATCCATACTGATTTCCACAGTGGCACTAACTTACATTTCCACCAACAATATACCTGACTTCTACATCCTTGCCAGAATTTACCGTTTTTTGGATTCTTGATGATAGCCATTCACCGAGAATGAGATGGACTCTCAGAGTAGTTCAGATGTGCGATTCTCTGGTGGCTGAAGATGCTGAACGTGTTTTCAGTTATTGGCCGTTTGTCCTTCTAATGAGTATCTGCTCAGATCATTTGACCATTTATTCCCTGAATTACTTGTTCTTTTGTGGTACATTTTTTGAGTCCTGGATATCAGCCCTGTGTTGGAAGGGTGGGTGGCAAGGACCTCCTCCCATTCTATATGCCGACTCCTCCTCCCGTTGTTTAATTTTCTGGGCAGCAGCTTATTCATTTCATGTAATCTCATTTGTCTGTTCTTGGTATTATTTCCTGCGCTATGGAAGTCTTATTTAGGAAGTCATTGCCATTGCCTGTACTCTTAAATGTTTCCTCTGGTAGCTTTGGAGTTTTAGGTCTTACATCTAAATCATTAAGCCATTTTTAGTTGATTTCTGTACAGGGTGAGAGATGGGGATCTAGTTTCAATTCCTACATATGAATATCAAGGTTTCTCTGTACCATTTCTTAAAAAGAGGCTGTCTTTTCTCCAACACATAATAGGTGATGAAATTATTCAGTGAGCATTTAAATTTGAAAAATTGGCTTCAGTAAATGACAACATTGCTATTAAAATTGAGAGAGAACAACTCCAGAAAAATAAACCAGCTATAAAAACACAATTTAAAGACACTATCAATAACAATAGAAAACAAAAGGGTAAAATAATAGAGAAGAAATGAAGAAGATAAAAGTTAATAAAGGGCTGGGAATTTAGCTTAGTGGTTCTGTCGCCTGCCTTGAAAGCGCGAGTCCCCAAGTTCGAACCCCAGTACCCAAAAAAAAAAGTTAATAATAAAATAACTTTCAAAGGGCACTGGGGAAAAGGAAAGAAGGAAGCAGTAGGATTTTTACAAAGGAAAAGAAAAATGAACAAAAGTGAGATTGAAAACTCCAATTAAAGCATTAAAAATGAAATTAATTTTATAAGAGATGGGGTTGATGGAGAACTTCCTTCTCTCTGGGTGCCTGGGTGGGGGAAGCGCCTGTCCAGATCGCCCCTGCTGCATTAAGGCAGTGGGCGTCTGGCGTGAGTCTACTCTGATCCTGCCTGTCACTGCAGTCTGGAAGCTGAGGCCCAGCCTGCCCTCCCCTTGGGCATGGCTGCTGAGTGGTTTGTAGTCTGCTGCTGGCTGGATTCACTTCTGAGACCCTTTTTCCTCCATGCTCACCTGGAGTCCTGCTAGCTGGAGCTTGTCTTGTGGGCAGGGAGGTGCACACCCACTCCAGAGAACCCATCTGTGCATCCAGGGCCCTGGCTGATGTTCAGGCCCAGGGGTATTCTGGGAGTGGGGAGGCCTTGGATTTCCACCTCGCAGGGAGGCAGAGCAGGAACCACGGGGTGCAGGCCATCATGCCTTTGCTCATGTGTCTTGGTCCTCACCCCACACTTGG